TGCCAAATTAGAGGAAATAGAGGAAAATAACAAACATACAAGAAAGTAAGATGAGGATAAATACTGAAATGCAAACTTATTTTCAGTCTCACTCCGACATCCTCTGTCTCTCTGTTGCTCTGTCTTTCCTCCCTCATCCCCTCTCTAATGAAGACGTGGGACGTTTTCTCCTCCATTACCCGAACTGCTGAGGTTTCATTTCACGTCCTCCCCAGGCCGGTTGTATGCCAAGCAGCTCAGTGCCAGGCTAGACTCTCCCTGCCAACTCACCCTCCATCCCGCAGGCTGCTTAACAATGCAATCTGCCGCTCACCTCTGACCAGACCAGCTCCATTCACAGTCACATCAGAATGCTTCAAAGATGGCACGCAATGCAGTTACAGACTTTAGAAGTGTATATACCACTGGAAGTAAATACAGTAGTGTAGTGGTTAATAAAAAGGTGATAGCCCATGATCTAGAGTAATTTCACAGCAGATTAGAGGTGTGGTCTATAGATGGGAATGTTAGACAGTCAGTGTGTCCATTCATTGCTTTAGTCCAGAACAGAAAAACTCAACAACTGGCCAAACTGGCGTTCAATTTGGTATTTATTAATTAATTAATAATCCCCAGAGGATGACCCTTTATCACCTTGGTGATCCCCTAAAGTTTTGTCTCTTGCCACAGACAGATTTTCCCTGACACCTTGACCAAAATTTTGGTCCGGGTCGACCTGTTCTGAAAAATGTCCAGATTTCATAATATTATTATATAGAATTTGCTTTGGATATTCCTCATCCCCAGCAGATGAATACTACTGATTTCTGTGCCCCAGAACATTCTTCTAGCAACACCATCAGGCCAGAATTTTCTAATTAAATTAAAACTCAGATTTACAATTTTAGTCTAATATCAGTTCACACATGGGCTTATTGCCAACTGCAGTGGGTGACTTACAATCCAATAAGCTATTAAACAAGCTACCAAACAAGATAGGTAATGTTATAATAGCTAACATAGCAGTCATGGAAAAATACATCGGTTATCATCATTTTTGTCATGACTAATTTATTAATGACTCAGCTCAGAGAGAGTAAGTACACTATGAACCTAATTGTTGAGTAAACCGATTTTGAGAGATTTTCTCTTCACCTCTTCCCTGAATAATACATTCTCTCAGACGGCTCCTTGGGCCTTTCATGAAATGCTTTGAGAACCATCTTCCCATGTCTATTTTGCATCCCTTAGGAAGCCCAACATTTTCTGAGGAAATATTTGAGGAGTGTCCATTACAGAACCTGTTATGAAAGTCTTCTATCAGCCAAAAGTTAGAGTCTGCACAAGTCTAAGAGGGCAGCTGGCCAGAGACACGATGACTGTGGATCAACTAGGGAGGTTGGCTCAGAGCTGGAGCAGGCAAAGCTCTGGACAAACAAAACCCCGTGTCACTACTTTTATAGTGAGCGGAGGGTAAACACATTTCATAATCAAATTCGCACTTGCCCAATCTACGCAGACACTGACTCATTTTTATTGCATGTTTGCATTTGCTTACAGTGAATCCGGCAGCAGAGGCAAGGTGACGATTTTGCAGTCGACAGCGGTAATGAAGAAAGTGATCGCTCATTAGTTTCTTTGTTCCTGTCCCACTCTTTTATCTCTGTGGTTTTCCTGCCCCGTCCCCTCTTCTCTCTCTCTTTCTCTGTCTCCCTCTGCAGCGGTGTAATGTCTGCAGCTCTCGCCCCTCTGCTGCCTCCTGCGTCACTTCCCTTCCTGGTCGGCTGTCATGTAAACACAAGCACACTCCTGCTCAGAGGCGTGCTCTCTCACATACAAGCTCAAAAACACTCACACAAACACACACATACACCCAGTCACATGGGAGCTGCTAATTATGACCACATAAACCCAGCGGAAATACAACTTTCACAGCTGGCTGTTTGAGCTACGCACACATTGAGGCACATAATTCATAGACAACCCCCCCCCCCTCCTCCCACACACACACACACACACCATTTACTTCAATTATTCAGCAAACGCACACCAGAGAAAAAAAGTAATGTGCTCATTTCTCAGATTAGCCTCCGATGCTGGGGCTACAAATAGCAAAGATTTCTCTGTACGGGTGCTGGTGAGGCGAAAGGACCATGAGAGCCACGGACAGCGATTAAGTGAGAAGGATGGAGGGAGGAAGGTTTAGCTGCATGAATTGAGCATAACAAGGGAAAAATTGGTTTCAGCGCCGGCCATTTTAACGAGAGAGCGGAGGAAACGATGAAAACAACACATGCTCATTTATATCCGAATGAAGCAGATCTATTTGTTGAGACAAGGCAAGCATAAACATCTGACAGACGTCATGCATAGTCTGTGACGCAGATGGGAAAGTCTGTCTTCAGTAAGCATATGCACGCACCCACAAAAACAGACACAGATAAACAGGAACACACACAAACAGGCAGGCCATGTTATTACCACTAGACTCGTCTGACACACTCCAGCCATTTCAAGCATGTCACTAGTCTGAGGTTCAGGCTCATTGGTGGAATTGCATATAGGTTTGCCAAGGAATGCTCTCAAGGGCGGAAATAACAGCTTACAGCTCTGAAAGTTCGCTTCAAAAGGCTGATGGATTTGTTCTCGGCTAATAAGACCAAACACGAGATTAATGCTGGTTAATGGTTAATGCTGCAGGATTATTGCAAATTTCATTATCATGCAAGTGCTGGAGGACAGCACAGGTCATGTTCTACCCTGCTTGTACTTGTCAGGGCAACAGCTTGATTTGTTTACCAGGGGAGGCAAGATAATTCCTCCGTCCAGAGAAAACACATTTGGTTGATAAAAACAAAAACAAGGGAGTTCGAATACACAGGTGACGCAAACATGTAAGTTTCTACTGCAGGATAAAGAACTAACATGAAACAAGTACTGAAACTGTGCTATCAGTTCCCTGAACTAATTTCTTCTTTCATTTTTGGTAAATGGTTTTGACATTTATCCAAAGCACTTCACAAGGTTTTTGCCGCTCATGGTATAATTCATACTGAGAAATACTAGTGTCAGAGGTTTTGTTATTGTGTTTGTTGTTGGCTGGCTGCCCTGGATTCTGAAGTTCATACGACACATTTCACAACACAGAAAAGCATTAAACTTAATGCATACATTTCCTTCAATCCTAAGCAAGCAACAGCAGTAAGTGGGGAAACTGCTGACATTCAGGAGGGGGCCCAAACCTTTAGAATTACTGCTTTTATCTGCTAACAGGAAATAATCAAAATCAGGATTGAATTAGGTTCTTGACAGCTGGCTTCAGTGCGAGCCTTGACAGAACAACTGTGTTCATTCAGGATCTGTTAGGGCCACACCAAATTATTATTTTCATTATTGACAATCTTTTAATTATGTAATCTATTGCGTAAATAGGAAACTGTTTTCTCACACATTAGCGAATTAGCTATAAAACAGAAAGCAACAATCCTCACATTTCAAATGCTAAAACTAGACAAAGTTTGGCATTTTTATTAAACAGTCCATTGATTGATCAGTTAATTTTCTGTCAACTGAATAATTGATTAATTGGCAAACCTAATTGTTTCCGCCCTACACCAGGGATTCAATATGAGCTGGTGAATGTTTTTGTGTGGTTGGTGGTTTGAAATACTGCTAAACTACTGCATTTGTGTCATGCTGCCTGAAGATTAGCTGAGGAAGGATGAAGAAGATCCATTTAATTCTTACATGATGGAGCATCAGGGACTGAAGAGGATTCAACAGGCCACCAAAAGTCAAACCATGACTGATTTGTATAAAGCTGAATGTTGATATAAGGGGGAATAATAGGTTGTGTAATAAACTGCATGTGTCAATGAGGGACAATGGCATGCAAAAAAAAGTTTCCCTGTATCATATTAGCCTACTTTTAACAACTTGTGCTGCAAATGTGTGTCAAAAAGAAACCATTTTCTAAACAGTTTAATGGGTTTCCTCTCCAATCCTTATGGTGATGATCAGTCACATGTCTAGATATCTACCAGCCTTTTACATCAACCGGTGCTTCCTCCAGTTGGCCCAGTCAGCATCTGCTGCTGGTAAGCATCTCCGGAAGAGCCACTTGCATTAACTCAGAGAATTATTTCCCTTTACTGCTCAATACTGAAACTGCAGCCAAAATTAGAGGCTGTTTGAACTATATGTGTCATGTACACACAGATGTGACTGCCCTGTTATGAATCAGCAAAATGTTGACTGGTGTGTGTGTGTGTGTGTCTGTGTGTGCGAAAGAGAGAAAGAAAGAGTATTTGCGCAATAGCCAAAGCAGCAGGCAGGTGGTTTTCTTGTTTTCCTCACCGGCGACTATTTAAATATTGAAGACCTGTCTGCGCCTCACAGGCACGTTTCCAGACATCCCGCAGGAAACCTGGATGATCTGTTAAACAAAAAGGACCGTTGCTTATAAGCTCGACACTCGTAATTACGTTCACAGCCAGAACAGTGTTATAGGCCTACTCACGTCGTTATAAACATTTCCAACAAGTTAGGGGACATTTAAAATGATGGGCTACTTTATTATTAAACTTGTTATAGAGACAGTGATTCTTCAACAACTTCACTTGTTCTTGGACGCAGAGCTCAAGGTTGGGCTTGTTAAAGAGGGGCGGGATGTTTCCAGTCAAGCCTACAGCGCCGTGCTGAGCCTCAAAACACTGTTTAGAAGCTCCAGACGAGGCCCTATTCCCACTTGTTTACTTCAACTTCAATTTGCATGTGCGCAACACCACCTGGAATGCGGACACTGGCGAACACAGAGTTCGAGAAAAACGCAAATGGCACACGATCAAGAATCTCCCCTGCAGGAATGTTGCGCTTGCTCCAACAAACACTTTTGTGGGTGCGGGTCCTCACACTAGAGAATGTAGGTAGCACACTAACCGGGCGTAAGAGCGCAAACGCACCTGCGGCAGCAATACAGAGCCGATCAGCCGAGCTATTACAAATAGGCCAACTTCACTCACGCTGAAAGGCGCTCCTCTTCTGCTCCGGGACCAAGGGAAATTGTCCTCCTCTTTTAAAGTGCGTGTCACAGCTGGCAGGTGCAACTGCGAAAAGAGAGGTCCCGTGTGATGAGGCGCAGTGAGTCCGGCTCGCCCCGTCCGCGATCGGCTGGGCTCGGCTCGGCCACGCTGTCCCTCTCCCGCAGGCTGCTGGCGGTCGGCTGATGACTGCGTACATTTCGGCCTCTTCTCCATCAGCCGAGAGCTCAGCGCACTCTGTCTCTCTGCTCCTGCATTTCATTATATCATGGCCATGTGACACGCTCAGGCCTCTGTCAATGGAAACTTAAAGGGACCTCCCACGTGACGGCGGATCATGCGCGCGCCGGGCATTGCGCGTCCTGGGGAAATAAGATGCTGCGGCTTTAATAAAAGTAAACCAGCAGGCCATAAACCACCATCCAGACTGGTTTTACTGTTCTTACAGGAATGATGGTGATAATGATGAGGATGAGGATAGTTGTAGTGATGACGATAACACTTAGTGTGATGATGATGATGATGATGATGATGAAGATAACTATTGAGTTTGTGATGTTCTATCTATGATGATGAAGATATGTGTTATGTTGATGATGAATATAACTGTTAATGGTTGCGATGATGATGATGATGATGATGATGATGATGATGATTTTGAAGTAACATCAAATGGGTGGTAAGGATGGTGATAGTGATGGTGATGATGATGAAGAATGTTAATAGTGATGAGGAGGATGATGATGATGATATTAGAGGTGGAACCAGTGTTCATGATAGAGATGAAGGTGGGACTGATGATGCCTCTTTGTTGGCTATTTCTTTCTTCCATCATGAGATCATACTGTATGTGACATCATCATAGGGTGACTAACATTGTGGGGAAACACAGCTGACCTCATATAAGAGACAGTCAGATAGACAGACGAGAGCCTTTCCCCCAGTCCACAGGTATAGTATGTGCTATGTGCAGCTTATGCTGCAGGCACAAGGTTATCCTGGCTTAAATTAATTTCTTTGTGCTCTGTAAGGTGCCAGTAGAGCTTTCTTTGTTGATCATTTCCTCTTGTTTACATTAATACATTCTCTCCCAGAGGATGCCCAGCATCCATCCATCGTCAACCGCTTATCAGGGTAGCTGGAGCCAATCCCAGCTGACATCGGGCGAAAGGCGGGGTACACCCTGAACAGGTCGCCAGTCCAGGGTGTCGCTAGTCCATCGCAGGGCCTCACATAGATTAACAACCACTCACACTCACATCTAAGGATAATTTTGGAGACACCAATTAACCTAGCCTGCATGTGTTTGGATGGTGGGAGGAAGCTGGAGCGCCCGGAGAGAATCCACGTGGACATGGGGAGAAAATGCAAATTCCACACAGAAAGGCCGGGGCAACCAGGGTTTGAACCCACAACCTTCTTGCTGTGAGGCAACAGTGCTAACCACTGCATCACCAGCCTGCCTGCCTGCCTGCCCGCCTGCCTGCCTGCCTGCCCACCCAGTGTCCATGAGGCTTACATTTCCTGCCTCATAAAAACATTGCTCATCGCATCAAATTATTAAATACTTTGGAAAACAGCCAGGAGTGATATCAAATAAATAAGACTAAAAGTCACGCTAGGCCGTGAGAATCTGTGTAGTTAAGTTAATACCGACCATGTTAAGAAATGCTGGATGTTAGAGACCCTATGGGTAACTGCATGGATGTTGTCTGCTGCAGTGTCCTTTTCATATCATATCATAAGGAATGACCAAAGTCAGAAATGTGTATATCTTTAACATGCTGATTTTAGCATATGACCTTTAGCATGTTAGCATGCTATATTTGCAGTAATTTCAAAATACAGCTGAATGCAGGCTGAAATTTGGTCATTAGCCTTAAAGGTATGCTGTTATGAACTTAACTGTTAAAGCTGCTCTAATTAATATTTTAATTTTAAATTTATTAATTAACAGAAAGTTAAGGACTGCCATCCTTACTGAGCTGCTACTATCATGGGATTGTGAATAGGTTCTATGAAGACTATAGTATGACATAAACCTAAACTAAAATCTAATCTACACTTAAAAATACAATAAAAACCATGGTCAGATTTACATCATAGGGTGTAGCGACATTTGCCGGTGTTCCCTAATAATAAAACCATTCTCACTTGTATTCTCAGTGTCTGGATTTACATCCCCACAAACAAAACTTGACCAGTGCCTTTCCATTTGCAGTAAGTGGAAGCAAGGCCCTGCCAGACCCTGGACGTGCACTTAGAAGAAACTCCATTATCATTCCCTTCACGTCATCAAGCCTGGAAGAGATTCACTTGCAGATGATTCATCAAAAACTAACACTTTCACCAGAATTTTACAAAAATATCAAATCCAAAGCAACAGCAACTGTTACTGTGCCTCATTCCACACCACTGGGTGCCTTCGCTACTAATCTCTATTGTAAAAGAAAAAGGCATTTGATGTATTATTGTGTCCCTAATACATAATTTCCACAATTTTCTTGAATCTTGTTGCTTCTAAATATTTTTGTGTTATTTACTTCATTCTAGTAAAGTGAATTTCCCAACCGCCTGAAATGCCTGAAACAAGAGAAACGGCAATTATCTCAGCCCAGCAGGTTTATTATCAATTTATTTTGAAAGAAAAATCGTGTTTGAAAGCTGAATGTTAGACCAAAATTAATTACTTAATAAATTACTTATGGCAAAAATATGCAAAAATAGCCCACTTAAAAACGTTGATGAAAACACATACATACAGAAAATAATGTAGTCAATGAAACTCGTAAATTCTTTCATGAATACTGTTTGACTTGATTTTCTCTTCAGTGTGATGGAGGGTCTCGTTGGCAGTCAGGGCCGTGTGAACATACCAGAGGTCCAGGAGTCTCTGAGGCTCGCAGACCCCCTGTGGTTTAATTAGAGCGGATTACAACTCTCAACAACAAAAGGCACCTCTCTGCTTCCCCCTTTTTTGCCTGCTTGTATGTGACACTGCCAACTAATAGTGGCTCCTTGTGTGCTGCCAACCCATTGAGAAGGCATAAAACAGACATCTATCACATGCATATTATCCAAACTTGATTATTATTATTGATTACATAGTTAATTTAATTTCTTAACTTGTCTAGAAAATGTCAATATGACAGATGACTAGCACATGTCATCAGGTGGTTACCAGTTAGTAATCAGAGCCCAATGTGATGTATCAAGTAGACAACCATTTAATTCATAATTGACAAAACAATCCCACCCCAAAGTCCATTTAGTAGTTGTTTTGAAGCTTTTAATCATATTACACAATCTCCATCTACCGGAGATCATGTCCATGATACAACTGAAGGCTCTAGAGCAGCTAAACTTGTGATCAGATTATTCTGTCAACTAAGGTTTCTTTCTCAACTTGATTTATGATATTAAGTAAATAAAAGTAAGCCAGCAAACATTTTCTAAGTGAGTCATTGTAATTGCTTTTTTAAGTTGACTAATCAGTTGTTGGATAGATTAGTAATTGTTGAGCACTAAATCAGGGATTGTAACAACAATTATGTTATGTTATTATGTAATAACTAATATCATTAGTAATAATAACTAATAAGTTAGCTATTAAATAAATAGTACCATAAATTAGCAAATGATAGCATTAAAAAAACTGATAGCACTCACATTGAGACAGAGTGCTTAAAGGCATAATGAGTAGCATTTGGGAACATCAAGAAAGACACCAGATTTAAAAGCTTCACTATAGTGTGAATACAGAGAGATTTATTTATGTATTTTTATACATGTATTTATACCAGTCATGCACTCTAGCTTTTAAATTATTGTTTTTGAATACATTATTTAGGCTTAAAATATTTTTGAACATTTTCCATTTTGACCTTAACAGAGTGTTCCTGAGAGTGCTCCTTTATTAGCCACGCTTCAGGTGGCTCTGTGGATGGAAATGTCTCTCTGTCAGTCTACCACTTTGGTCCAGGCTGAAATAGCTCAACAACTTTTAGATGGATTGCCATGACATTTGTAGAGACATTCATGGTCCCCAGAGGATGAATCCTAATTACTTTGTGGTGATCCCATGAGTTTTCATGAAGCACCATCATCAGGTCAAAAATTGTATTTGTCAGTAGCCTACTTTGGTTTACAACTAAATAGAACTAATGATGTTCCCATCAGCCTCAGCTGTGGTTTGTATTTGGTTCTAATTAACAAATCTTAGCATGCTTACATGGTGGTGACCACAGCAAACATGATAACTGTTTAACAAAGGATGCTAGCACTGTCATTTTGAGCATGTTAGCATGCTGATGTTAATATTTAGCTCATAACACCGCTGTGACTTTTGAGCATCCCTCCAAGCAGAGGGTGGTGTGAAAGAGGTGGGGTTTGAGGGATGGAGGAAGAGTTGTGTTAAGCATATAAGTTATCTCATTGCACATTTTAAATAAGAATACATGTTAAATATCACATTTAAAAGAGGTCCAGTGTACGGGAATAAAGCTACGTTCACATTACTCACCCGATGATTCATCCACCCTGTAAACTACCAATGACTCGACATGTAGTGAAAAACTGAGATCACCCAGAGAGGTGTGCTGTCTTTGTTTCAGAAAGGAACCAATGCAATATCAAACAGGCCAACAATCTACAGTCCAATAATGACAGGACAAAAAAAAAAAATTAACAAGGCCTTGACATGGACATAGCACATTTAATTAACCCCTGAGGTGTCACTGGGGCATAGTGCACAGGTCAAAAAAGCACAGCATACACACCGTTAATAGTAGAGTTAGTAATGACCCAACAGTAGCAAACCCTATATACCCAGATATACCCTGTGTGAAAATGTACAAATAAAAAGTATGTAGATAAACATATAGTATACGTTTATATAATATAAGATAGAGCACAGGTGTGGTATCTACAAACATTTATGTAAGTATTAGACATTGTTTCTGGAAAGGGACATTAGTTTTCAAATGCAATTTCAATGTATGGGGTAATAATGGGGTAAGTAGCAGCCTAACTAATAAGGCTTTATTGCTATTTTTGTGGGTCAACTGCCCTTTGAACTGCAGCTTTTAAGTACTAGCTGACTGGTTAAAGCTTAATGATGTGAAAAATATGATAACACCTGATGTTTTATCATGATGGGTGTGAAACATAGACTGTATATAAAAAGGTGTGGAATATCTGGCTTGGTAATGGTACTTTGCGCGTCTTTGTACAAATAAAATAAGCCAGGCTGTACTGTCTCTTTAAGGGCTGTCACTGCTCACGCCTGCTAGCCTCCCGCTGCTTGTTATTTTCTGCAACAAGAT